CTGTAAACAGCACTGAAAGATACCCAAGGCCAACCTTTACAACCGTGAGTACACACCCGCATGAGCACCTGTGTGCGCACACAGACACACTAGTAAAGGGGGAGGGGGTAGAGATGAAGGGAGGGAGGGATGGGTAAAGGGGGGAGGGACGAGGGACCACTGGCTTAGGAGGCAGAGATGTGAATGAATGGGGGAAGGAACACTGTGATGTCAGATGCATTCAGCGATGAACGTGAAGAGAATCTCTTCTCACTGACGTGGCCACGGGAAGAGACAGAGGTCTGTGAAACCGCCCCGTCACAATCCCCACCTGATTGTGGCAGAGCCGTCACAAGTAGCCACTTCAGTCACTTCCAATGGACAGAGGTCAGGCTCAGGGGCACGTGCCTGCCACATTCGAGACTCTGGCTCCCACGCCCAGCACAACAAAACTAAACAAAACTAAATGCTTCAACTCACCAGTGAGCCTATGCTATGAGGTGAATCTGCCCTCCTACATGTTCACAATGAAGGTGTCCTGTGAGGCTAAATTCTACTCCAAATGCTTCCTCTCTAGGTTGCGGTGCTGTCCATGTGAGCGTTTGGAGAAAGTATCGTAACAGTGGCGGTACAATTACATATGACCAGACTCTCCTGCAACAAACTGCCCATCTTGTGGCACTCTACAATTCCCAGTTAAAGTAGGGTCTAACACAGATCTTCTCTCAACAATGAGCTAACAGGGCATTCATGTGAAAGGTACCTCCTGTCATGTGACATCCAATATGGCCACATTGTGTTTCAGGCTTAGGTATGCTAAGTGTAATTTTTGTATTCGGTGTTTAGTACGTAAGAGTGCCCTGGCATCGTGTAGCATGCCTTACTGTCAACTGCACAGTGGAGAAGTTCTCTCCGTGCATTAGTGCTAAAGCAATATGCATACACATCCTGAACCTGCCCACACTTAAACAACTTCCAGCACCAAGAAAACGGACTTGCAATTAAACCCACCATTCATATAAACCCCAAGTGAGTTCAACTCTCTGGAGCAAAGGGGGAATGACATCTCAAGGCTGGACTGCCAGGCAGTCCACTAACCCTCGCTGTTTGAGTGACGATGCTAAGTAAGCTTTATTACCCGACTTTAAAGATCATACAGTGTAACACAGGCCTGGAAATGCTGCACTTGCTATGAATTAAACATCACAGTTGGTCTGCTAAAGAAGTTTTGCCTTTTAAATTCAAACTAAGGAATTCTCCATCGCCTGCATTCAGATCCAGGATTCTCATTTACACCCATAGATATATCCTCATCAGAAAGTTTAGGAAAATATGATTAATTACGTTTTGCAAAATCTAAGGTATAGAGGACCAAGTTGCAATTAAGAACATTTTAGTCCAATTATTATATGTAGGATCCAAAGTATCTTTATAGTATATGAGCTATTGAGACCTGAAAATGAACGGGGGTGGGGGTGGGGGTGAGGGGTGGGGGGTGGGAAGTGGACTAAGTATGCTCTCCCTAAACACTACACAAGCTCACTTCTTAAATGATCCAGTCAAGCCTCACAAACAATGTAAGTGAGCACGTGTTCCTTCAGAGGGAGACACACACTTGTGGGAAGATTCTGGAAGATTCTCTGGCTTTCTGCAGGGTCTTAGGAAGTCTGCTCCTATGGTGAAGCAGCAGAGTGAGACGGAGGAAAACCAAGTCAGTTTCAGGGACATCCCCAACTCCATCTGAAAGTAAGTGTGTGTCCCAAAGACATGTTTGTCACCTGAAAACAGACGGAAGGAAACCTAAACCAAAGGTGTTACTTTTAGAGCCAGAGAGAAGTTGACCCTTCCAGGAGCAAAGCATCCATCCATCCATGTCCACCAGCAGTCGGACTGCAGCTTGGGGCATTGAACTGCAGAGGGAGAACTCTGCAATGTCAAAATCAGTTTTCCCGAAGCCACCCTGGCAGCCTTTAACCAGTGTTTACTAAGATTTCTTCGATGTACACTCCTGAAGGACCAGAGGTCACTACAATGCATAAGAATGGGTCTAGAGCTCTGAGCAGTCACTACTGACCTGTGACTGTGTGTGTGAGTGCACACTGCAGTCCAATTGTGTGTCTGCTCGTTTAACTAAACCCCAAGCCCTGGCCCAAACCTCCCCGCCTCCCACCTTGGTTTGGTTTGGTTTTTTGAGAGAGTTTCTCTATGTAGCCCTGGCTGTCCTGGAACTCACTCTGTAGACCAGGCTGACCTTGAACTCACAGAGATCTGCCTGCCTCTGCCTCCCGAGTGCTGGGATTAAAGGAGTGCATCACTACTGCCTAGCCTACCTTAGGATTTTTAATAGCAAGAACTCAAGCTTCGAGAACACTAATGTCTAATCTGTCCTCCAAGCCAAGCAGTGAGGCAAACTCACAACTGGGGACTGAACGTCCACAGCTGGCGGGAATTAAATACTGTCCCGACAAATCTGAAAAATGACCATTTGCATATACAGATGGTCCATCCGGGCTGGAAGCTTGTCAGTGAGCATTAGTCAACATGCTGGCGATAATTGCAACTTACTAATGGGGCAGGTGAAGGCTCACAGTCACCTGGGGTCTTATTTCCCTCCATCCTGAGATGGCAGGCAACTCCCCCACTACGGGTTTAAGGTCACCGTTCTAAGTAATTTTATAGTCACTATATCTCATATATTACAAAACTTACATTCACGTTTCATTAAACAGACATAAAATTACCACCGAGCTACATCTCTAGCTATTGTAAGTGCTTGCGCACATGTGAGTTTATATACACCTGTTTTTGTTGTTGCTTTGAGTGCTTGGGACGTTTGCTTGTTTGCTTGTTTGTTTGAGACAGAGTCAAGTACGGAGACCAGTCTTGACCCCACGCAGCTAAAGAGGGCTTTGAACTCCAGACTCTCCCTCCTTCTGCTAGAAGCCCCTCACACCTCACCCCCTAACCCCCAGAAGAGTGCTGACAGTATAGGCATGCAACAACATGCCTTGCTGTTTTGCTACATTTTGTAGGAAAGGCAATTAATTTCCCCAGTGAAGCACAGATGCTACCTACAATCTAAAATGTCTAAGGGAGAAAGAATGCCAGTTGCTAACATACTGTGTTCACAAAGGAAAACAAGGGGCTGCCTTGGCTGCGTCCCGTGTCCCTGAGTCTGAACAAAAGCCCCGTTGTAAGGGTTTGTCACTAATGCAGTCACTCATTCTCAAGCGGGTCACTATGTTTCACAGTGTGAAATGAAGGGGATAGGTTAAACGTTAGGCCTACTTAATAAAGCATAGGTAATGTCTGGTTTTCAAAATAATTTTAAGTCTTCAACTATGAATAGAATTTTTATACATTATACTTATTGCCACAAATATAAAAATCACCAGGGCTGTTTAGACAGAAATGGAACTCCATGGTTACCATCACAATATGTCCTTGGAAAAGTCACTTAACCTCTCTAGGGCCTTCCTTATCTGCTAATCCAATGCCTAACAGGGTCCGCAGAGCTGTTGACAGGATCACCGCAGTCCCTACCAACTGAGCCTGTAAGAAGGTGTGAATCAGAAGTAGTTCACAACACTTAACACTTTGTGTAAATAAGAAGCAACACTGACCGGCACCGTTAGTTCTTTTCATAAGAGGAGAAGTAACTCTTGCAGGAATAGCAACCCTGCATGCATCGAAGCAAAAAAGCAAAACAAGGGTCTTCCAGAAGGCCGAGGAGCTAAGGGGTGGGCTGCTAATCCCGGGGAGCAGAGTGTGAGTCCTGGGACCCTCATGATGGAAGAAGAGAACCAACCCCTCAGGTTATCTTCTGACTCCCAGCATAGCAGGTTTACACCCACACAAGTAAATAAATGCAGCAACAATTTTAAGTAAAACAAGACACAAGAACCCAACAAAAACAGCGTCTCAACCCCTTAAAGAAAAGCGCTGAGCACCCAGGGAAACGGGCATCCACTTACACTATTACATCAACAGCCATTGACAGCTAGTGCCAGCATTAATATACAAGGCAGGAAAATGAACAAACACATTTCCCAAGCTGGGGACAGGAAATGAAGTATTGTAAATCCCGTGACAGATAGCACAAAAGACTTAATTATCTGATTTTCAGAGATCAAAATCTGATATCACATTAGGTTCTTCATCCTAACAACCATAAAGCACTTACAACGTAAGTGGGAATCCAAGGCCTTATCCTCTGATTTTCCCCTGGTCAACCATCTTTGAATGAACATTTTAACTTTTCATAACATTTAAGAGCCTTATGCACACTGGACAGATTTTCATTTCTACTTTGTAGTTACAGATAGATGCATAGTCTAAAGACTCTCAACCTAAGTGCACCTGAGATTAAGAGGCATTCTTCAGTCTTGACTACACAGCCAGTGTTCCAATGACTAATGATGAGACTCAGAACTGACCCAGCCCAGTGCTAAGGAAGCTTAAGTTCTCAGAGGGGAAGCAACAAATGAAGAAGTAAAGGATGGATCTAGGGTTAGTAAATGTCATGAACATACAATATGGATGTGTAATGAGAGTCACTGGCAAAAAAGGCCAAGAACAGTATTTCACAGCATCTATCTGTCCACTAAGACTGAGATCTGCTGCCAAAATCTATGGCAGTTTTTCTTTTCTTCTACATTATGGCAGTTTAATAACAAGTAAACACTATTACCACCCAAATATTTTACATATAAAAGGAAGCAAAAACATTTTTCCAGGCTCTGAAGTCAAAATTTAATGAATTAAGTCATCAGTTTGTTTAGCAGGCACACTTAAGACTTTCCAAACAGAAACTCAGCACCAATAAACACACATGGTGTTTCACCTTCAAATGTCATTTCAACACGTTCATAAAGAACTTTCACAGCAAAAACATGCAGGGAAATAAGTAAGTTTTACTCTCTTTTTATTTACCTTCATCTTATTTACTACTTTCGTAATAGTTCAGATAATTTAAAACACTTAACCTTAGTGACAGTCCACAGATTCCAAGACCCCCTCACCTGTGCCTGTACACGGGGCAGATCTGTTCATCTGAAGCCAAGTCCAAGAGCAATCTGCAAAGGGAACAAACAGACAGAGATCAGTAAAGACACAGAACCTTGCTGGGCTCCCCAGCGCAGGCAGATGTTCACAATCGACACACAGCTAATATATCTGTTCATCACTCCCAGTGCACAAGTGATGTTCGCTGGTGACAGTGGGCCAAGAGCATGACAGCTACGGCATCACCCCAACCGTATAGCGCAGTGCAGAGCGCACAGGGAACACTTCCCTGTGAATGACAGGGCACCTGCAGGTTTGAGTTCCCACGGCCACATTGCAGTTGCTATGGAATGCCCAGCTCCCCAACCAGGCAGAAGATGGCCACAGCAGAGGTGGCTCTGGCTACCCACTGCCGTTCTATAGTTCTAGGAGGAGCTCAGGGCCTGCACACTCTAACACACTGCACATGTTTTATTAGCAAACACAACCCAGAAAATAACTGATGTACCATGCTTACTTAGTTTACCAATACAGAACCTTTGAAAGGCTTAAAGTTACAGAAATAAGAACAAAAAAAAAAATCTATGTAATAATTGTTTAAAAGCATAAAAACGACAGAACAATTTGCTTTCTGAATTAAAGTCTTTTGGAGTAAGGAGTATACTGTGTGTGACAGCCATCAGAGTTTGACAAGCAAAAGAGAGAGGTGCACGCTTCGCCAATGAGGCAGACCCTCAAGTTTCCTCAAGGTCTATCTCTTGAGAACAAATCCTCGATGCAAGCTGGCAGGCAGCCTTCACTTTGATCCTGCTGCCTCTCTGTGCAAGTGTGTTTCCAGACGCACACAAGACAGGAGATGTATGCTTATGTTATTTTATCTAGGCGAATGTTTATCTAGATTAATTGTGCATTTTATGGATGCAAGAAAAAAGAGGAGTGCTCGTTACTGTTAATAGTACTGAAATTGTGGCCTTTTGGACAAGCATTAATGATGCTAGACTTAACTTCAAGGAAGGTTTTTACAACTGAGCCATGACAGTGTTTTTTTTTTTTTCCTTCAGTGACATCAATCTATAATAACTTACATTTGGTGTGAATGCTTTTAAAGCTTTTTACTTTTTAGAATAGAAAACAAGAAGAGGAAGAAACTAATACCAAATTTATATTCAAGTTTCTCTTTTACTAGGACACTGGAAACATTTGACTTCATAATCTACAAGGTCTATAGAGGAGAGAAATTGACAAGGATGCATTTTGATTTTCACTGGGATGTGGTCTTGAGATCATATGTAATAAAATGCAAAATGGGTATCAGCTACAATTCAATGAAAATAACAGAAAATGTACAGACGCATAAGTTACCGCAGTAAAATGAATGTATTCTGCTCAAGTGCCAATCAGCAATAGACTGCCATGGAGGGGCCTTCCGTCCATTTAGCTGATGTACACCACTTATAATGCCATACCATCCCTGCTCAAGGACATCATACATGCAACAACCCTGAGTTAAAGCTTTTGGTATTAATAGAGCACTACCTGCTTGCTCTATACTATCCAGTAAGCTTTATTAATATGGCAAGATAACACAAGACCAACTATTAAAATCACTCCAGTTAAAGAAAGATGATTCAGGGGGCTCAGTGGTTAGAAGCACTGGCTGCTCTTCCATAGGACCCAGGTTCGATTCCCAACACCCAGTTCCAGGGGATCCAATACCTTCACACAGACAGACACACAGGCAAAACACCAATGCACATAAAATAAAAATAATAAAGTTTTAAAAAAGAAAGAAAGAGGTATTACTGGAGACCAATACATTTCCAGATATCCACAGTATAAGATTTCTTAGTCTAAGTTCTAAACAGAAAATTAATGATCTAAATATGCAGCGTTACAAACTAAGGTTTAAGTTTATGCAATATTTACAGTAAGACCATTTAAAGGGACACCACATGGCATGGCACCAAAGTTCTATAAGTAATCATCTCACTCTTCCTCCGCTGATGCTCCTGGGTCTCAAGTGCCTCTTTCGGGTGCTTTACAGAAGAGGAGGAAAGGAGACTGGCCAGGCATGCCAGCGAGGCAGAAGCCTGGAGTTTGGCAAGAAGGAAGGGCAGAGGGGCTGTGTTGTGGCTTCTCTCGAGCTGCCCAAGAAAGTCCTCCACGAAGGCATGGTGGGGATGGGGAAAGAGCCCAGGGTCATAGCGTCCCTACAGACTAGGTCTCAGACTCTGACCTCACCACACAAGACGTGCTGCCATCCACACTACTGCAATTACCACGGGGCTAGAACAGACTTCGCTGAGGAGATGAGAATAACATGGCCCTCTTTGTGGAATCTTCAAAGAAGCGGAGAGACAGCTATGCAGAGCACCTGACAGACACCAGAGTTGTAACTAAGATCCAGTAACAGAGTGTGGTCTGCGATAGACACTCAAAGGCGCAGAAGCCCAGGCCCGCCCACCCCGAGGACACCTAGTTTTTCCCTAGTGTGTCCTCATAGAGCTGGCCTTGAACCCTCCTGAGTGATGAAGACAGAGATACTAAACACTTCGAACCAGAGCAACTTTAAAATTACACCAAAGGTTAAAGTCACTACGACTCACTAGAAAGTGGTAGAAAGCAGCGCGATGGAGTATTCTTTTAAGCCAAGCAATAGAACAAAGCGAGTCCAGGAACTGGCTTCTGTGTCGGTTCACACAAGGAAGAAGGAACAACCATGGCAATCCTACAATGCAATAGAAAGGTAAAACTAATTCTTCCCATCCATTGTAACCACTCTGTTCTCCAGGTCCATGGGATCAAGTTTTGAATTACCACACATACGTGAGAACATATGGTATTTGTCCTGTGTCTGACTTACTCTACATCGTAACATAATGTCCTCTGGTCTCATCCATGTCACACCAATCCTGTGTTGTGTCCAAAGGAAAATAAATCAGAGTGACACAGATGTGTGCCCTCCTGTATGTATTCACTGCACCAACACTCACGATGATTGATTCCAGGGTACTGAATCAAGTCGGGTGAAGAAGAAGGTACTTTACTGTCCACACATAAAGAGTATGAGGTTCCTTTTTGCTGAGGACCAGATATCAGTGGCTCTGCTGTAACTTTTACACGAATTATTGTAAATACCGGCCACGCCACAGACAGGTACCTGTTAGTGCCAACAAAGTGTACACGGGAAACATTACGTGACTTACTCTTATCAATGCAAGAGGACAAAAGACCTCCTCCTGCCCTGTCTCTTACTCCCTTCAGAAAACCCAGCTGGGCATCGGAAAGATCCTTTGCAATAGCCAGCCTTACACAGCTGCCAGCATCTACCTAACAAAGTAGATCACTCAATCGCTCATGCCAACAGAGGCCAAGAGAACAGAGGGGACATCACACTGCAAGGCAAACAATAGAGGTAAGGAGAAATGGAGACATGGGAGATGGTGCTTAAACAGAAAGTGAGACGGACGATCCTAAAACCTCATGTAGGACAATGCTAGAAAGCTAACCTAGCATTGCTCAATTCCTCCCCCAAACCAGAGACTGCTGGGATGGGAGACAGACACACCCGACCTAAGATATCCAGGATGAGTTTAGTGCCGCCCCACACTCTGATTCAGATGCAAACGTAAAATTCTAAGTCCTAGCACAGAGGCCCTCAACCTGTGGGTTGGGACCGTGAGAAAACGCGTTTCCAATGGTCTTAGGAACTGAGACACTGCTCAGTAGCAAAATCAGTTATACATCAGCTACAAAAACATAGTTATGGTTCGGGGTTCCTAAGACCATGAGAAATGTGGGTTTTTGCGATGGTCGTGACCCACAGGTTGACACTGCTGTGCTAGGGTGACCACTGTTCAGCCGAGAGCCAATGCCATTCAATACTTCCGGCTTTATGTTGTACTGGCCAGACACTGTTGCTACTTTTATTTCTTTGATATCAAGTCTTGGGGTTTAAGATTTTCTATCAGGCTAAGTAAGTAAAGAAAATCAGGGAAGCCTGTAAATGTAGCACACACATGCCTTACAAGCAGTACGGGGCAGGGTTCGGGTGAGGGCGGGAATGGTGTGAATGCATTGCACATGCGTGAAACTCTCAAAAAAAAAAAAAAAAGTGCACACTGAACGCAACAGCCTGAGTTCTGCAGTTGAGCGAGCAATCTTCAACGTGTCTACCTCTGCTTCATAGACTGGGGTCCTCATTCATGTTTAATTAGTGGCCTGGCTTTGTATCATGGGTGCCACTGGAAATAAAATCTGCAGTGAAAGGAATCAAGTAATACACAACTGGTTCCTTTTCACAGAAGCTACTATACAAGCGAAATTTCCTCATTAGTCACAAAAGTCAACATGGCTATACAATGTGCATCCTTTAAAAAAAAAAAATCACTCATACACTTTGCTGACACAGCAAATTAAGGCCCAAATGATGCCTTCACGTGTGCCCTAGGGCGTAATGAAGAATCTTCTTCTACATAGTGTTAACTGCTTGCCCATACAATTGTTTTCATACAATGTCGAAACACAGTTTTTTCTGTTTCTGGGTTTTACAGACCGTTTCTTCTCTTTCTTCCTTCCTTTTTCTTTCTCTTTTCTTTCTTTTTTCTTGTCTTTGAGACAAAGTTTCTCTGTATTGCTTTAGAGTCTGTCCTGGAACTAGCTTTATAGATCAAGCTGGCCTCGAACTCACAGAGATCAGCCTAACAAGAGGTGATATGTCCACATCGACACGCAGACACTCCCTCAGGGGACGCTGGTTCTACAGGCCAGGGTCATCCCTCCCTCTAAGGACACCAAGTACAACAGGCTGGCAGCCACAAACGACAAACAACAACTGACTTCAAGCCCTCCACAGAGAAGTCTGGGTTCACCCTGGATGGGTGGTGGCGGATAAGGCCACTGACCCTGTATGGGACTGTTAAAGCGCGAGGGTGGCATCAAGAGGTTAACTGCCCTTCCCCCAGGAAACTGCACAGCCTTGGCAAAGAGCCTAACTGGCAACATCCCTGAGATGGTGAGGCCTGAGGCGTGTGCCTGAGCTTTCTACCTCAGACCCGTGTTTTTCCTTGGT